TTCTCCAGAGCACCCATGGACGCGTCGCCCTGCTGGAAGAACCTGCAGGCGCTGAGCTGGCGCCCTCCCGCGAGTGGAGGAGGGGCCGCCCTATTCCCGCGGCAGTGGCGGCCCCCCTCGCGAAAGATGGTGATCGCGCCTGGTGGAGTACCTATATTGACGATTTCGACTCGGGGGGGGCGTTCAAACGGGGGACCGCGCTACCCACGGTCGGCACCCCTGGCCGCCTCCCGGAGCAGATGAGGAGGAACTACGACGGAAAGGCATCCCCATCAGCGTCAACAAGGCTAACCAGCGGCAGGTCCTCCTCACTCGCATGCGCGCTGAGGTCGATGGAGTTGTCAGCAGGGCGGCAAACAACCGAGTGAAGAACGCGCAGCTGTATAGCCTCACCCCACGGCTCCTGACGCGCGACAACCCCTGGGGAACCAGCTTCTGATCCTTCTGGGCCGCCGGGCGCGGGCGCTGGAGTTCAGGCGACCCCTCTTTGGAGTCATTGATGCGGTCTGGGAGTTGGTCGCCTCAGGACGCGCCCTGCTGCCGAGGAGCTGCGCTGACGAGCTGGTGCGCGCCTGCCTGCCCCTACCTTTGGCGTCCACGAACTTGAGGGCGAGAACAACCAGCATCGTCTCATTCTCGGATGCCAGAGAGGGTGGTGATGGGATGCGCACGGCAGTTGGGCTGGCGGACGGGGCCGCGGGGTTCCTAGCCAGCCTCGGGAGCCCCGAGACTTGGCCATCGGATTGCTGGGTACTCTGGCAAGTGCGTCGTGGAGGTGCCGCCCGAGCCCAACGCCGTTGTCAAGGAGGAGCCGCGCGTGCTGCTAGTGAGCCTGTTCGACGGGATAGGCGGCGCGGCGGTCCCTCTGGTGCGAGCGGGGTTCACCATCGGCGGTTACATGAGCAGTGAAGTTGACAAAGGAGCCAGACGTGCACTGCGATCGCGCTAGCCAGGACTGATCGAGCTGGGACCCGTGGAGGAGATCCAGGGGAAGCAGCTCGAGGCCTTGACTTTGCCCTAGGGCCGCATCGTGGCTGCGATTGTCGCTGGAGACAATCCTTGCCAGGATGTCAGCGGAATCAACGCTGATCGGCAAGGGGCCCATGGCGCTCGGACCGGCCTGTTCACGCGCATTCCCAACATACTGGCCGCACTGACTCAGACGATACAGGTGCCTGTGCACTGGATCGTTGAAAATGTTCTCTCCATGAGCGCTGAGTCCTTCCAGGAGTTCAATCGAGTCCTCCAGCAGAGGCCCCTCTGCGCGTGCAACTCCCTGTTTACCGAGAACCGTCGGCCGCGCCTCTACTGGTGCTCGCGGCGGGAGGCACCCCCCCAGACCCCGGGGACGCACGTGGAGTCAAAGCCAAATTGCGACCTCATCGAGTCCACTCAGGCCCCCAAGGCCCTGGCGAGTTCTTGGGCGTCCGCGGGCTGCTCGAGGGGTTCGTCAGAAGGGCCGGCATGTACTCTACTCCAGCGACGAGACAAGAATGCCCCCTTTACAAGCCTGCGGGCCTGGCCTCGGCTAGCTCAGAGGCTACTCAGAGATGGTCCCAAGATCGACTTGCATACCCTCCTTATCAGTATGATCTCACGCACATGATTAGGGAGCCCAGTGGGGGGCTAAGACCTTTCTGCGCCGCCGAGAGGGAGGTCAGTTCGGGCTCTAGCCGCACCGCCGTTGAGACCGAGCGCTGCAGCCTCATCGGGAACGTTTATGCCTGCAGCGCCGTGAGCTGGCTTCTCCTGGCACTGAGGCGCGAGCTCGGCTGGCTGGCGCGCGAGGCCGATCTGCGGCGGACCGCGCCGAACTTGGAGGTGAAGGACCTGCTGGGCGAGGACGCGCAGTTCTCAAAGGATCCTGTCCGCGAGACCGCGCTGGGCCAGAATTTGGCGCAGATGTTAAGGGCGATCGTCGAGAAGTCCGGGAGCGACATCCGCCTCGACGTTGGCGCGCCCCTCATGCCGAAGGCGTGGCCTTGCGCTTCGATCGATCCAGCACGTCGGAGGTAGCGTCCAACCCTGTCCCCCCCCTGGCCCAAGACAGCTCGGGAACTGCAAATCAGCGCGCTGGAGCTGAAGGCGGCCAACGCCTCGCTGCGGCACCGCGTTCGGGCCGCGACCTTCAGGAGCGTCAAAGCCCTTCATCCGGTTGACTCCCAGGTCGCGGCCTCGATCCTTACGAGAGGACATACATATTCTGGGAAGTTGCGCGGCTTGGCCAAACAACGCGCTGCCATCGCTGCGAGCTCGGATTTGCACGCGGGCATAGGGTACCTCAACACCAAGCTAAACCCGAGTGGTCGTCCTTGTCGATAGTTTCTATCCAAGAAATGGCGCCGAAAAGGGTCCAACTGAGTCCTCACGGCGGCAGGCGCAGGAGCTGGCTGCACGCGCGTAACCAGTTTGGCAAAAGAGGCACGCGCCTGCGAGATCTGCAGATCACCAAGCCTACCAGGCAACGGGACGTACGCTGTGCTGGGCGTTTGTTTGCTTGGTGGAGGGCGCATGATGTTCGTTTGTCTGCCCTGCATGACGTTTACCGCAGCTTCAGTGAGTACATCGAAGCTTGTTGGGCAGAGCTGGAGCCGCTGTACTTGGTGGTCAATGTTGGTGTCGCGCTGCAGTGGTTGATGCCTTCTCTGAAGGGGCACCTGCAGCATAGTTGGAGCCTGATCAGGACCTGAGAGAAGCAGTGTACGCCTGGTCGGGCCACGCCCTCACCGCAGAGATAGTCCTGGCCCTAGCAGCTGCAGCGTGGCATTTGGACTGGTGTGGCCTTGCCACGGTCCTTCTGATCGGCTTCGGCACCTTCATGCGTACTGGCGAGCTGATGGCACTGCGACGACGACATGTGCTGGTAAAGGATGGCAGAGCCATCATCCATATCGAGACTTCGAAGATGGGTCTCCGAACAGGCGTCTCAGAAGTTGTTAGCCTGCGAGATGGTGTCAGTCGGGAGGTTTCGAGAGCTCGTTGTCTGACTCTTGAGCCAGAGGACCTAATATGTGATTTGAGTGCGCCCGAATCGAGGAAGCATCTTGCAGTGCTGTTGTTTGGTCTACAGAATCGAGGCTTCGCGATGTATAGCCTCCGAAAAAGTGGAGCGACCGCTCACTTCACTCGACATAAGAATATGGAGAATACTCTCCAGCAGGGCAGATGGAGTGACACCAAGATAGCGAGAATGTGCCTTTCTCGCAAGCGGTGGCGGATACCATTGCGTTAGCGCTTTTGCCAAGCTCCAGGAGAATAATTTCCGATGCTGCCCTGCGTTGGCGAGAGATTGCGAAGAGTCTGTGAGTTTTAGAGTAGAAAAGTCGGCAAGCCATTAAAAGGAGAACGTGGGAGGCTCTCCGGTTGGCCCTGGGGGGGCTTTGCCGCTTTAGGGCGGGCCCTGGTGCGTGCAGGGTCCCCGCCGTAACGGGTGACCCTCGGGGGCCACCTGTTGTGTTGCGAGTTGCAAGCTTCCCCGGTGCCAGCACGGACGGCGTGTGAGGAGCCCGTCCGTCCGACGCTGGTGCTGTTGGAGGTTGGAGACTCGCAGGCCGTGGGCTCTTGCCAGGCCCTCGGGGACGTTGCCATCTAGTCGGTTTGAGCCTCGCATTTCTAAACCTGTGGCGGCGCGTCGCCAAAAAGAGAGGCCCCCAAACATTAGTATCACCGTCGTGGGTGGGGCGTCACAAGAATACGTAGAGGAGTGCAGGTCATCTGTAAGAGGTTAGCACATGCGTAATAGCTGGCCTAAGCTGTGGCAGTACTGAGGACTGGCACGGCGAGATGGGTGGCTCGGACATGTGTGTAGAGGCTGGCGCATGCGAAATGGCTGGCCTAAGCTGAGTTCTCTGGTTGAGGCTGGCGCAGACGGTACTGGCTGGCAGTTCTAGGCGGAGTCCTTGTTAAAGCGCGGGTTGCGCAAGAGTGGTTTCTGGGTGTTCGATCCCACGATGGGGAAGCATTGGAGTGTGTCCTCATCCCAGCCCCCATATATAGTAATCCCATCCCCCACTTGTCCTCCTCATCATCCTCCTTCTCCCCATCCCCCTCTCAGCTCGTCGTTCGCTCCTCCCCATCCCCCTCCTCCTCCTCCTGCCCCTCCCCCCCATCCTCCTCCTCTTCTTCTTGTCCTCCTCCTCCTCCTCACCCTCCTCCTCTGCCTCCTCCTCCGCCTCCTCCTATCATCTGTGCCCTCCCCCACCCCCGCACCCCCCCCCCTTCTTCCACCTGTCATCCCCCCCTCCTCCTCCACAGCAACAGACCTTGCAAAAAGGGCCCGCGTAGACGAGTGGACGACGGCTACTGTCGACGGACATGGCGGTGGGCAGGGCGAGTTGCCAATCAGCCGCAGAAGAGATAAGCCCGATTTGCTACATCGTGGGAGCCAGACATCCACGACCACCGACAAGCACTCCGCAGGCACAGGGGTCAGAGGAAGCGGTGGGAAGACGATACCACACACAGCTTGTGGAAGCAAGCGCGCCTCGCCAACCAAGCAGCGGACGATGATTTGCATTAGCAGAAGACAGCACGCCATGCAACAGTCTAGAACAGACATTCTTACTCCACACGCAGCACGAATCACGACTTCCACGTCTGCGTCTGAGGGCCCTGGCCCGCCCGTGCTGGCTTTCCAGGCCCCGCGCCCCAGCAGACATAGGCGCGCTCGGCTCTGCTCTGTTCCGCTCCGCTCCTGATCTCTCCCCATCCCCCGCTGCCGCTGCCTCCAACTGCCCTCGTCCTTCTCCTCCTCCTCCTCCACCTCCTTCTTCTACGTATGCCACTCTCCTGAAGGCGGTCATCCTGGCAATCCTCCCCCTCCTCCTCCTCCTCATCCTCCTCCTTCTCCTCCTCCTCATCCTCCTCCTCGTCCTCCTCCTCCGCCTCCTCCTCTTCTCTCTCTCCCCTCGCCCTACTTCCTCCCCTCCCGTTCCCTCTCTGGCTGGCTCCCCTGGCTCACGGAGAGGGCGCGGCAAGAACCCCCGCGCTCTGCGCCCGAGGCGAACAGGCGGGACGCCCCCTCGCTGGCGTCGTTCATCGAGGACCGCCCGGGCCCCCCTATCTCGGGAGGACAGGATCCCCGATCTCCGCCGATCCATGGTTTCAGGTCTGGGCGTTTTTCATTTGGGAGGCCTCCCGCCTCGTTGACGCCCCCTCGCTGGCGTCGCTTGTCGAGGACCGCCCCAGCTCCCCCTTCCCGGGGGAACAGAAAGCCCGGCCCTCCGACAATCTGTGATGTTCGGTCTGGGCGTTTTTCATCTTGGGGGGCCTCTTGCCTCGTCTTCGACCTTTCTGGGCCTCCTGGGGGGCCCTCGTCGCCACTGCTGGCTTCGCCTCGAGATCCTGGTCAGAGCGCAGCCTCGGAGAGTTCCGAGAAGTGGCGGCATGCTTCTCCATCTCGGGCGCTCTTCAAGTCTGTCTGTACACATTGTTAATGTCTAACTGTTCGAAGGTCCTTTGATTTTTTGGGGGCCAAGATCCTTTCATTTCTAAGTATTCTATCCTGGGCCTCTTCCTGGCCACTGGGGGGCCAGGAGCAATTAAAAACGAGCACAATGTTGAAACGAGCACGATTAGAAATGAACGACGTGTAGTTTGAGGGGCCCACGATCGGGCCCCGGAGCCATCAGGCCCGATTCCAGGTGGAAAAAACTTGCCTCCGCGGCAGGGGGTGGGAGGCCTGGGGCCGCGCACCAGCAACAAAAAAACAGATGGGAGAACCCTGGGAGGGTCGGCGCCCGGCCCGCCCCTCTCCAGGGCAGTGAGAGCGGGCAGGTAAAAGGTAAGAGGAGGAGGAGGAGGAGGAGGAGGAGGAGGAGGAGGAGGAGGAGGAGGAGGAGGGGGAGGGGGAGAAGGAGATGGAGGGAGCGGAGGAGGAGGAGGAGGAGGAGCAGCAGGAGGAGGAGGAGGAGTTGGAGGAACGGCAGGAGTTGGAGGACCAGAGTAATCACAAGATGTATCAATGGTGCTTCAGCACACACCCTTTGGTCCGGACCACCTCCTCATGAGGTCATGTGGGCTGTCCTGTCACCGGAAGGCGCGCACCCGTGAAAAACCAGTGGGTCTGCCAGTTAGGTGAGAGCCCCGTTTTGAAAAAGAGTTGCATTTCGTCTGTCTGGCGAGCAACAGGGGCTGCGAAAATGTAAAACCACGGCTCAGCGAAGTGTTTAGCGAGATTCCCACTTTGAAGAACGGCCGCTCCCATTTGTGTAAACTGCTGCACAAGGTCACACTTCTGGCCATGCGCTTCGAGGAAGCATCGCGGAGCAGCCGCCATTTTGAAAATGAGCCGCACTCCTCCCGCGCAGCCGTCACATTCGTTGAGTATTTGACCCGTTGTGTTAAGGAATTCTCAAGCGAGAGCTCCATTTTAAGAAGGACTCGTGTCCCATCCCCGTAATGGCTGCGAGATGTTAATACGAATGTGCGTGGCGATACGGGTAGAGCTCAGTTGTTTAAAAAGGAGTGGCACTCCGTCTCAGCAATTGTTGCACATGTCGCGGCGCTACGGCGAGAGCCACATGCTGCAAAGGACTCCCCCGCCATGCGCGAAATTGCTTCAAGCTTTTAAGACGAATGTGCGCGACGCCCATGCGAGAGCGACATATTGAAAACGCCTCCCCTGCATCCGCGCGCAAGCTCTTCAGACAAATTTGCGCGGTGTCAGAATGATAGCCACTTTTTGAAAACAGCCGCCCCACCATCCGTATTACTGCTGCAAGCGTCTGAGACGAATAATGACTACCCCAATTGCGATAACAACGTGTTGAAAACGTCCCGCTCCATCCGCCTAACTATTGCCAGTTTGAAAGGTGAATGCGCGCGGCGCTGAGGCAAGTAGGTGGTCTCTACGACTCCACGATACATTCTACATTTTTATGGGCGGTTTCGATCCCGATGAGGAGTTCACGACGAACTTCGGGTCTGGACCTGGTTAGAGTATTTGATATGTACTACAGATTTCCGATTTGAAAATGAATGTGGTTCCCGTCTGAGTGGTTCTAACGACGTGGTTGTTTTGAGCCACGGCGTAGCTTCCTGGCTATAGGTCGAAAAACAGCAGATAACGTAAACATGAATGTTCGGAGATCCGCGCGGATCTCTTGGATTTGAGTTGCAGCCCCTCCTTAGCGCGCTCAGCGCGCCAGGGGCGGCGCTGGAGACGCCGCCAGGAGGCTCCAGCGTCGATCCAAGAAATCCGCGCGCCCCCGACTGTTTCTGTTTACGACACCTCTGTTCCTCGGATGAACCTCCCAGGATGGGCCCCAGGATGATGGTGTACAGACTCGCCTGGCCAGGGCCATTCTGGGCCCCAGGATGTTGTACAGACCCGCCCGGCCTCGGCCGGGAGGGCGTACACACCATGCCTGGGGCCAGGAGGGCCCTCGCCACGCACGGTGGTGGTGCAGAGACGCCTTCTGCGCATGGCCACCGAGCTCCCGCGCGTCTGGCGCCAGCCGCCCCAGCACCCGGGAGGCGGTGCTCTCGGGCCGCGCGCCTGCGTCGGCTCCGTGCTCGCGCGCTCGGGCAGTCGCCGCTCGCAGGCTGGTGCGGGCGGCGAGAGGCCCCGTGGTGCCGCTCGCAGCCCCCTCTGCTCCAGACGTGTGCCGCCGGCCGGCGGCCAGTCTCCCTCTGGTCGCGCCGGGGTTCGGACAGGAGGGTCAGTCGAGACAACGCGGCCCTCCGCAGCGCTGTTCATGCCCGCTTCGCCCTCCGGGAGGCTTCGCGCCGCCACGGCTGGATGCGCCCTCCAAACAGCAGGTCTACATGGACCCCGGGGAGGCGTGCGGGGACCGATATCGAACGGACTTGGGAGCTGCCAGCGTCTCAAGAGCCCGTCTCAGAGGCTGCAGCGCTCATGAGCGAGCCTCTCACGGACGGAGCGGACCCTCCCGTGCAGGAAGCGTCGTTTCCGGACGTCCCAGCGACAGGGGGGGGCTCTTCCTCCGGTTCTAAGTTTCCCCCAGTCTCCGCGGCCGTGTTGTGAAGTGCATCCTTGAGCTCGTCTGGATATCGCTCGTGCCCGAGAGGCTCAAGCACGAAGGCCTTGCCTGCGCCTGTGCCACGCAGCAGTGCTGCAGCAGCCTGTGCCGTGGGGTGTGCGGATGTGCAGTGCCGCCATCCTCGGCAGCAGCGGTCGTTCGCCCACGCGTGACAGTTTGCTGGCCTGCTCGCCGCGCGTCTCCCGCCCATCCGGGCCTCCCGAGCGGGGCCGGAGCAGCTGAGCGACCCCGGCGTCGCATGCGTCGGCGATGCGGCGCGATCCGCGGCCCGTCGGTCCACATGCCCACAAAGCTGCGGTGCGGGGGGCTTCTGGCCCGGGCCAAATTGGCAGGAGGCGTCTGGTGTGCCCCCAGGCTTCCAAGTGGCAAGGGGCAGGGATCGGATCTGGGGGGTGGTCTGGCTGGAGCTGCGCTGGAGGGCCGAAACGGGGGGGCTTCCAGTGTGCCCCCAGGCTTCCAAGTGGCAAGGGGCAGGGCTCGGATCTGGGGAGGTGGTCTGGCTGGAGCTGCGCTGGAGGGCCGAAAGGGGGGGGCTTCCGGTGTACCCTCATGCTTCAGAGTGGCAAGGGGTAGGGATCGGATCTGGGGGGAGGTCTGGCTGGAGCTGCGCTGGAGGGCCGAAAAACGGGGGGGCTCGGGGGGGGTCCCCCGACGGGGAGGGGTCCGTCTGCAGTGGCTCGTCCGGGAGAGTTGTGGCCCCTCTCCCCTCTGCAGTGGAGTTCGGAGTGCTCGGCCACCTTGTGCCAAAAGTTGTCTGCTCTTGCGATTCCGTGAGCCGCTCGTACGACAAGGGTCAGTCGCCTTTGTTGTACGAGAGGGCTGCTCATATGATACGATAATTGCCGCCCCAGCCCCGAGCTCGACGCGATGGCTCGATCGGTCGGTCGTCCGCTGCGTCCTACTCCTACCTGGCAACCCCTCTCGTCACCTCCTTCTTCGGCATGCCCTCGGGATGACTCGGAATGCTCCCAGTCCCCCTCCTCGTCCCCTCCCCCTCCCCCCATACTCCTTCCTCTTCTGCCTCACCGCCCTTCCTCGTCCCCTTCCCCTCCTCCGCCCTCATCTTTCTCTGTATTGCGCTGCGCGGACTCGGGCGAGAGTACCGTAGCGTCTGACCTCGTCCTCATCCCTCCCTCCCTCCTCTCTCTCTCTCTCTCTCCCTCTCTCCCCCTCTCTCCCTCTTTCTCTCCCTTCCCATCCCCAGACATCCGATGTCCTGCTTTCCACACTGGGGCCCCACCAGTCCGGACCAGCTCCCCAGGAGCCAGCTCTTCGCCGTGCGTGTTCGGGTGGACGGTCCGGGGCCCACATGAGGGCCCCCAGACCAGAGGGCTCCAACAGGGGTTTTGTTGGGGGGCAGGGTGTTTTCCACAGCACAGCCCCCTAAGGCCTTCGCAGTTCGTCGCCATCCTGTGCACGCGAAGCCCTTCGGGGACGTTGTGGATAGCTCCTGGCCCAGAACAAAAACCCTCTCTGGAACCCTCTGGCCCAGCGGCCGACCACTGCGGCAGAAACCGCCGCCTTGCACGTGCAGAGCGCCGGATGCCCCCCAGCACGACTGGGGCGCCGCGCCCCCCCCCCCGCACCCACCTCCTCTCCAGAAATCGTCAATCCTCCTCCTCGATCCTCGACCGACGAAGCTGAAGCATGCGTGCGGAGGGGGGGTGGGGGGCGGGGGGAAAAAGCAAGTATAATGGCCGACTTGGGCGCAGAGCGTAACAAAAATCAAGCTGGCAAGCGCAGTGGGAGAGGAGGAGGTGCGATGCAGACAAGGTGAGAGGAGTCAAGCCAGTGAAGGCTCAGAGTTGACGCTCGCCAGGCAGCACCTGGGCAGGGGAGATTTCGAAACGCGAAAACCGAATTGAGCAACATACGAAACCTTCCTCCTCCGCCTCCTCCGCCTCCTCCTCCTCCTCCTCCTCCTCCCTCCCTCTCGCCCGCTCGCCCGCCCGCCAAGGCCTCCCTTCAGCCTGCCGGCGTGCAGCGCCGGCGCAGGGCCCCTCCGCAGGCGGCCACGGCCGCGGTGGGGCCCCCCCTCCTCCTTCTCCTCCTTCTCCTCCTGCTCCTCCTCCTCCTTCTCCTCCTCCTCCTTCTCCTCCTCCTCTTCCTTCTCTCCTGCTCCTCCTCTCTGCTTCTCCTCCTCCTCCTTTTCCTCCTCCTCCTCCGCCTCCTCCTCCGCCTCCTCCTCCTCCTCCTCCTCCTCCTCCTCCTCCTCCTCCTCCTCCTCCTTCCTCCTTCGTGCCGCGGCCGGTGCTGCCGCTCCTGCTCCCAGGCGTGCAAGGCAAGGGAGAACTCAGGGCGTGGGGCTTTTCGTTTGCTGTGTTGGGCCTCCGATGGGCCCTCGCCGGGCCCCGGGACCACCAGAAGCCAGCTCGGGACGAGAGACTGGCCTCGGGGAAAGGGTTGGGACTTCCCAGGGTCCCGTGCTGAAAAGTCGATACATCGGATCTCTGGGATCATCCTTCCCTGCCACCTCCCTCGTTCCTGGCTCGTCTTGGGGAGGGGGAAAGGGGAAAGGGGGGGGGCGGAGGAAGGGGGATGGGGATGGAGGGTGGTATGGAGAGGGGGAGGCATGGAGAGGCAGAAAGAGAGAGAAAGAGAGAGGGATGGAGAGACAGCGAAGGTGGGAGAGAGAGAGAGAGAGGAGGCGGTGGGGAGGAGAGAAGGGCAAGAGACGGACACGATGGAACGGGACATTGAGGACATGGGGAGGGATTGGAAGTGAGGGTAAGAAGAACGGAGGGGAATGGAGGCAGGGCTGTGAAGGGAGGAAGGACGGAATGCGAGGAGGAGTGCGGAGGAGCGCGGAGAAGGTGGAGGAGATTCAGCGCGGGGAGGAGATGAGAAGCAGTTCTTAAGATCACGGAGGAGCCGGGGGAAGAGGGAAGAGGCGACGGGGAGCGAGACGGAACCTTGAGATCCGACGTCGCGCAGATGAACCACCTCGTGAAGCGTCGCGGCTGGAGACCTAGGCCTGACCCTTCTGCGGCGCTTTCCGAGCCAGATCGCTCTGCGATACAGTCGGGGCGCTGAAGAAGGAGCCCTTTTCGTTGGGGAGGGGCTCGGTGTTCCTTGAGTGTTTCACAGCTTGCCTCAGGTTTTCCTTATGTTTTCGATGGGAAATCGAAGTTTAACTTGTGGAAAATGGGGCCTCGTTCCTTATTTGGGGTTCCTTAGGTCAACGACCCGACTGTAGCCCTGGGACCCACAGCCCGGCGAAGCAGCCCGTCGTGGAAACACAGCAGCGCCCCAGATCTCTGGGGAGGAGGCGGCGAGCGACGGAGGGAGAGTCGGCCACGCGCAGAGGGGGTGTATGGGGGAGGGGGAAGGCTTCTTAGAAGCACCCCCGCTTCTTCGAAGGCGCGGGCCTTCCCTATACGTGTAAGGCTGGCGCCTTCGAAGAAGGAGCCCCTTCTGAGAAGCCTTCCCCCCTCCCCAATACCCCCCCCTGCGCGCCGCCAAGAGGGAGCCCCCCAGCCTGCGGGTTCGAGCAGGCTCCGCTGGCCGGCACGGAGGAGGTGGCCTGCCCCGTGTGCGGCGGGCTGGTGGCGGCCGCGGAGATGGACCGTCCCGCCGTGGATCGCAAACAGTGGCGGAGGCGGAGCATCCCAGCTTGCCTACAGGCCCACCAGAGCATGTTCTGGGAACCTTCCGCGGTTTGCACGAGATGCTTTAGAGCACTTCTGGTTTCAGGCTCTCTTGTTTCAGTCCAGCGGTTTTATGCTCCAAAAACATTGTTTCTCTGATTGGGACATTCTTTGGTTCTGCGAACATATCGTGGTGGGCCTACAGGAATGCCAGGACGGTCGGTCCCTACTCAAGTGGAGCAGGGGGACGGGAGAGAGGCCCCCCTACACCCGCACCTTGCTAGCCAGGACTTTCGGAATGTCACCTCGAGGGGACAAAGAATGGAGAATGCTTCGGCCCAGGGCTGCAATGTTCTCGGGCGCGCCAGCGTCCTGGTTTATCAGAGTCCCCGCTGAGGGGACTCGAGGGGGGTGAGGAGAAGGCGGCGGGGAGCTCCGTCTCGCCTCGATCTCGTTCTCGAACCTTCGACTTCATGATCCGACGCTGAACGAACGCCACAAACATAAGCTTCCGGAAATCGGCGCGGATTTCTTTGATTTGCGCTGGGCTCTCCTGGTGGCGCCTTGGGCGCCGCCCCTGGCGAGCTCCGCGCGCCAGGGAGTGGGCTCCACCGCCGATCCAAGAAGTCCGCGCGGACCTCCCATTGTTTATGTGTATGCTGTTTTTCTTGTTCTGATGGTGGTAGCCGGCTTTGCACATGTCGTTATCGCCCCGTCGTTCCAAGCGTTCTGTTTCAATCATCAAGGCGCACATGCCCACCTCCCTATCAAGCGGATTGGGGTTCGACGCTTGACTTTTTCGCAGGCATATGGGCATTTTACAACTCAAGTGGACGCTCGCGCAGTGAAAAGGAGGGGATGTGCGTACGAGGAGGGTGAGCGGCGAGCGGGACGGGAGGGTGCACTTGAGTTTGGTTTCGTTTGGTCTTCGTTCCCCGTCTTGCTCCTCAAAACAATAAAGCACAAACTGTCTGCGCTCCGCGCAGATTTCTTGTATCGCCGCTGGGGCATCCCTGGCGGCACCTCCGGCACCGCTCCTGGCGCGCTCTGCGCGCCAGGAGGGGGCGTTGGCGCAGATCCAAGAAATTCGCTCGGACCGTCGAAAGTTTATGATGATGGGTCTTGTTGTTCGCACATTCTTGATAAATTCTCCCTGTCGCACCACCAAACTTGCCATTTAGGGTGCTCTGGGCACTTCGCCCGATGATTTTTCATCTTTAGCAGTATGTATGTTTGAAGTTCCCGTCGCACGGATCGAGAGCAGGTCGTTTTCAAAATGGAATTTTCGCCTGGGCGCCGCGCACACCCATATCAAGAAAATCAAGCACTGACACGAATCCTGGGGGACTCACAGCATCGGGGTCTCGCTTTCAAGGCGCGCGCACGCGTTGTTGTTTGTTTCCGTATACACTTAAAAGACATACACACATAATTACATATGCATATGTTTATATACATACACACATATATGTATTAAGTATGTAAATGTATACATGTGTGTATGTCGTATGTATGTAGGTAGGTAGGTAGGTTGGTAGGTAGGTTTGTATGAATGTATGTAGAGTCCCTCCCCCGTCACACGAATGGCGGGAGATTATGTGTCAAAGCGTTGCTGTCGTTTGTTTTCAAAGACGTGCATGGTATACACGGATGGAGGGCGGGTCTTTAACAACATTGATCTTGGCTTGAGACAATGTAGCGATTTATTCCCACACGTTCAGCAAGCATATTGCAACTCGCGCACGGGTGTAGGACGATTGCTATTCAAATTCATGTTCTCGCTTCTGATGTCCAAGGCCCGTGTTGTAAGTGTCACGCAATTGCCTCCTCACCTCCTGCCTACTCTTTCTTCCCCTCAGACTCACACTTAGACTCACCCGGACTCGTTGACACCCATACCCCTTCCCACTCAGGTTCATTCAGGCTTAAGCTCATTCATACCCAGATCGTTCACATTCGTAACCACTCATACGCAGTTTAGTGGGAGTCAGACCCGTACACACGAACCGCTTACTTGCAGATCATGCGCAGTCGGGATGATTCACAGTGAGACTCACGCACACTCAGACTCGCCCGCACTCAGCCACTCCTGTTCGAACCAACTCATACACATATTCATGCGCAGAACTTTCATACATCGATCTGGTTGCAGTCGGGTTTCCATGGCCACTGCGCTGTAGCAGACTAGGCGTCTTCCTCGGGCCCGTCTCGCGCGCAGATTCCGGGGGAGTCTCGAGTGGAATGGCCGCCGAGGCACGAACCAGCAGTTACGCCCGACTGCCCCCCCAGCCCCGATGACTCGGGGCTCCGAGGCTGCTCCGCGCTCGCCTCCCCCTCCCCGGCAGGACTGGGGGGCCACCTGCGAGCCCTCCCCCTCAGAAATCGTGGGGGGTACGGGGTAGGGTTCGCAGGTGGCCCCCTAAGGACGAGCACCTCGACCTGTGCCTGGCGACCGCCGCCTCGGCCTCCGCCGCCTCGGCCTCCGACCTGTGGCCCGGGCCCGCCGGCGGCGCGGCCGTGGGCGCCGAGGCTCCGCGCGGGGGGGTCGGCGACGCGCAAGAGCGACCCTTCGCTGGGGCGACCTCTGCTCACCGAGCGCGTTCCACCACTCGCAAAGTACCCACTCTAGGGGAACACAAAGTGGCATAAACATAAGAACTCGGAGGTCCGCGCGGATTTCTCGGATCGGCGCTGGACCCTCCTCCCTGGCGCGCGGAGCGCGCCAGGGGCGGCGCCGGAGGCGCCGCCAGGGGAGTCCAGCGCGGATCCGAGAAATCCGCTCGGACCTCCGAGTTTTTATGTTTATGTCACTTTGTGTTCCCCTACACTCGCAAACGTCCGAACAATTCATGTCTGCTTCGATGTAGTTGATCGCAGATCCCCCGCGGCGGATCCAGGCCACTTGCGAGTAGCGGAACGCGCTCGTCTATTTGCTGCGGGCTCGCAGGGGTGGCGACCCCAGCACTGGCCCGAGCGCTTGGACTCGGGCCCTTCACGGTCCCCCAGAGCTGCGCACCAGAGATCACTCTTGCCCAGGGTCACTCTTGCGTGCCGTCGAGGGGGGCGCGGCCGACGACCGGGGGGGCCCTGGCGGGCCCGACCCGGGACCTCGGAGCCTTAGCTGCCCGGATGCGCCCGCTCTGAAGCGCAGCGCGTGTCGTGTTCCAAGCGTTCGTGTCGACGCGCCGCGTGCCGGCTCAACGTGTTGGCCCGCGTGTTGGCGAACGTGTCGCGCCAAACGTGCGTTTTCGATACACGTGCTGAGCCAGGCGTCGACGCGCTGCGCTACGGGTTGCGTGTTGCGTGCCGCGGCGGCTACGCCTGGAGCCGGCTGGGAGGGCTCGGAGGACAAGCAGACCGCGTAGGCATGATTTCGCCGGGTTCCTCGCGGATTTCTTGGATCGGCGTTGGGCTCCCCCTCCCTGGCGCGCGCAGCGCGCCAGGAGTGGCGCATGAGACGCCGCCGAGGGTGGCCAGGGGGCTGAGGTGGCCCAGCACTGGCTCCGGCCAGCAGAGGAGCGGAGGAAAGAGCCCCTCCTCACCACGGCTGGACGCAGCTCGACAAACCGGAGCGTTTCGGCCCCGGGAGGGGCCTGGGGGCCGATCCTGATGGAAATTGCACTCATCACCCCCTCTTGCCCGATTTTCGCTTGGCTGACTCGACCAGAGGCCCGAGCGTCGCAATCTTGTAACACCGGAGGCCCTCGCCCGCACCGAGCGCGCCGCGTTCCCTCGCGCGAGTCGACGCGCGTAGGTCCGAGAGCCCCCGGCGATTTCTGTCCGGACGTGTTCACAGATTCGAGGCTCGAGGTTTTCGGACGTTTGCGTGGGTTCACTTCGTTTTTTCAGCCTCGAGGTGCCTTCAGCGGCTGCGCCTCGCCGAGAGCGTTCGGGAGTTGCCCGGATCGCCCCGAGTGGGTACCGGAGGCCCCAGCTATGATTCGAAATCCGGACGACGAGGATTATTGGGGGGGATACGCTCAGGGGGGATGCATCGACCCCACGTCGCCATTTCACTTGTGGCGTCCAAAACCCGGATAGCGGAGCAGTCCAAAGCGCGTGCAATGCCGTTGGGGGACGCTTGCAGGGACGCTTGGAAGCGCTGCGAAGGAGCTGCGCAACGGCTTCCAGCACACTTTTTGGGAACGAGTGTGAAACTCTTCCGCGACAAGTTGCCGGCTCAAGCATCCTGCTGCGGCGATGCTTGACTGGCGCCAGAAGGAGCTCTGGGACCACCCTGCACTGCAGGCTTCTAATCTGAAACCCTCTTCAATCTCACAGAGCTATCCGGGAATCGCCCATCGGGGCCGGATAGCGCGCCCCGCCGAGAAACGCGCGGACGCGTTGTCGAGAGCCCATCACGGGTCTATCATAGACCATCGGCGATGTATCGCCGATTCGAGGTCGATGATCCCACCGCTTTTGAGCCGGTCCCCGTGGCACTCACAAGAGTCGATCCGGCTTGACAGGCGCCGCAAGAATTTAGGGATTTGGGGCTCATTTTCGTGATGCCCCAGGGTGTGAGCTTTTTTTTCCCAGCGGCGGGTCTCAGGGGCCTATAGGCCCCGAGCGTCGCAATTGGTTCCCACTGGGCGTGAGAGGACGAGGAGAATGAGGGGGGGGAAGCTTCTTAGAAGCACTCCTGCTTCTTAGAAAGCGCGGGCCTTCTCTATAGATGTAAGGCCCGCGCCTTCTAAAAAGCAGTCTCCTTCTTAGAAGCCTTCCCCCCTCCCCCTAATTACCCCCTTGTGCACGCGGCCACCTGTAGGAGCAGGATGATCAGGAGCGTAAGAAGGACGTACACGTACTTGAATCCACGTTGGCTTCGAATGTCACGCATTGCGCGGACGTTCACAACACGCGTCTGGCCTCACGGACTTGGGGGTCATATTCATGTACCGCCGGGCGCGTGCGTCCTATGTGGGCTCCTGAGAGGAGGTGGTGATGATGGACGGGAAGTTGGATGGGCGTAGGAGGAGGAGAAAGAAGAGGCGCAGAAGGTAGAGGAGGAGTTGAGGGACGAGGAGGAGAGAGGGATGAGAAGAGGTGTTCGATTGTTTTCAGCAGTTTCGGTTTAATGTTTCAGAGGTCCTCGCTGACGACGAGGGGTTCCGCTGACCCAGACCTCCCCTGAGATCCGACGTCGTGGAAGACAAATAGCATCGTCATAATTCATGTATGCGACAGTTCTCGTTTCAGACAGATTTGAGAGGATCTCTGGCCCCGAAACCAGGCGAAGCGACAAAAAGTGCGCAGACATGATCTCAGGTTCCTCGCGACGTGAAACAAGATAATGGCAGAAGGTCTTTGGTCAGTGTCGACCTCTGGGAGTGCTTGGGCCTCGGAACTAAAGCTGCTCCTAGGGAAAACTCGAAACGTCCTGGGGCTCGCGTTTCGGAAGATCGGAGCGCCAGGTGTCTGCCAGGGGCCTGTCTGACGACGGTCGAGTACGACGACGACAATCGAACTTCGGTGCTCGGGATTCGACCTGACGCTTCACGTCGCCACGGTTGGATCTCCCTCACGACTCTCGCCAAAACGCACCCCTGGAGAGGTCTCGGAATCGATTGTGAGCTCTCCTGGTGTGGCGAGGAAGCGTAGAGACAGCGAGTGGCGGTCGCGTGGGTGTTCTTCAGGGAAAGAATGCCGTGAGTCCGAAAGGGCAGCGCGTTTCCGCCAGAAGGCTAGAGACATGGTTCAGCGGACGTTGTTGCACACGCGTGTTGCCCCCCCATACACAGCCCGTGCTGTAAGGGTGCTGCGCCGTCAAGCGTCAAGCATTTCAGAAGAGGCAGCGGGCTTGTAGGAGCTGCTCTACGTGTTGTGGGCCTCCCGAGGCATCCCATGCTTCTTGGGGCCATTCAGATATCCGAAGGCCTTCTGCGCGGCCGCCCTCCCATCCTGCGTCTTGGGCAAGTTTTGGCGGCAGTTTTGTTTGGTTGCTCCCCCCTCTGGGGGGAGCCGCGTGGCGTCCACAGCAAGCGGCCACGCGGCGCGAAATCCGCACGAACGTTCGCCCACGATCCGTTTCGATGTGATTCGATTCGCCAGCTGGAGCCGCGATTCCGATTCGATTGGGTTCCGTTCACTGGCATCGGCTGGGGTCAGACGGAGCCCGGCACGACGGTCCGATTTCGATTCGATTCGATACGATGTGTTGGCGATCCGATGCGTTTCCGTTCCGATCCGATGTCGTAATTCGGCACAGCTCAGACAAGGATGGGGGAGGAATGGCCCTTCATGAGCATACAGACGAAGCCCCCAGACGCCGAAGAGAAGTTGTCAACATTGGGCGGCTCTGAGAATGTTCCTCCAACCCTCTGGTGTTGTGACCTCGTTTCGAACGGAGCAGTTGTTACTCATCTCTCTCCTGCCTCCTCCTCTAATCAGAGTGAGGGGGCCGAACGATCATTCACTGGGCACGTTCCGCGGCGCGGATCCCGCTTGTTTTGTTGCGTTGTTGCTGTCATCGTCCTCGTCCGCGACCCGCCCGCGACCCACCCGCGCCCCCACGACTCACCCCGCGACCCACCCTGCGACCCACCCGCGACCCACTCGCGGCTCACGAACGCTGCTTTCACAAACAAATCGGCGCTTGCGGCGCGCTTCTTCAGAGCTTCGCAGACTGCCGACCGCCCCGCCGCCCCCTCACTTCTATCAGCAGCTGCGGGGGGTGCTAAGTATTACATCATGCTCTCTCGACTCTCACTCGCCGCGTCTCCTGATTTCCCCTCCGCGTTTTCCTCATCTGTCTCGCGTTCACTCCTCTCTCGCTGACCTTGGCGCTGGCAGACGTGCACACAAACGTCGCCGCCCTTCTGCGCCCCTGGGGGGGTGGGCCTCCCGAGTGACGTATTCCGCAGATCCAAGCAGGACCCCGCCGGCCCCTGGGTGCTGCCCGGCGTGCAACCGCCGCCAGTCTGCTGCGCCGGTGGGAGTCCAGTGGAGTGACGTCTCGCGCAGATCCGAACCAGACCCCGTTTGCTCCAGGCGCTGCCAGGCGTGCAAGTGTCGTCGGCGCTCCACTGCGCCCCAGAGGGGGTCAGGCCCAGTGACGTCTAGACGTGCGCAGCCCCATGCCAGTCGTGCTGCTCTGGGCGCTGCCAGGCGTGCCGCCGTCGCCGCTCTGCTGCGCCCCTGGGAGATCCAGCAGAGCCCTCGCCTGCCTTCTGATGCTGGCAGGCGCGCAGGTGTCGCCACTCTGCTGCGCCCCTGGGGGGGCGTCCAACAGAGCCGCATCCTCCGCAAATGCAAAGGAGACCTCGCCTGCCACGGAAGTTGCCAGGCGGCCATCCCTCGCCGCTCTGCTGCGCCCGTGGGCGACCAGCGGGGTGCCCCTTTGCGCAGATCCAAGTCAGGCCTCGCCCGGCCTTGATGCTGCCAGGCGTGCCATTGTCGCCGTTTTGCTTCGCCCTTGAGGGGTTCAGCGGGGTGGTGCTTCCCGCATGCCCAGATGGGGCATCGCTTGCCTGGGGTGCCACCAGTGCGTGGGGCCCCCTGCATGGGGCAGGAGGCGCGTGAGGCGTGCC